TGGGATGGGAGGGAGGGAAATCTCTGCCCACTTTTTTGAATGCTTATAGGAGTTAAAGAGTGGTTTTAGAGTCCTAGGCGGGAGAAGGAAAAACCAGTAGGGGGTCCGCTGTGGCTTTGAAAGCCTAGGCGGGGTGTGGTCCCCCCCTCACCTGGGGCTGAAAGAGCCACCGATCAACGGTCAGTCCCTTTCAGGTATCCCGGGGAGGTTGTTAGGTTTTTTAGGTAGGGGCACTTACCTATCCGAGGTGGTGATGGATGCGGTGCTGGCATTCAAGAAAGTGGGCAAAGGCCTTAAGGGGTGAGTGTCACCGGCAACGGGACAGGGCCTCGCCTTAGGGCGAGAGAGCTCCCGACTGAGGCACAGCACCAATGAAGGACGATGGCGCCAGTGAGACTCAACACCCTTTGAGGCTAAGAGATTTATTAGAGCAGCAGCTACAGAGAGAGGGAAGGTCTGTAACCACCTGGTAGGGAAGGGGGAGTGAGTGAGTGAGGGCAAGAGAGGTCTGTATTTATTGGTTTGGGAGGGGGGCCAGTGCTCTATCGGAGCCTGGCGGTGCCAGCCAGTGCCATCTTAGGGTCTTTATTGGAGGGAGCTATGAGGTAGTATTCCTATAGGGAGATAATATCTGTGTACAGTTTAAGTTTCGCGTGCGTGGGAAGAGCAGGAGCTTAGGGCCTTTGTTGTCTTTGTTTGGTTCCATATGGTGTTTTAGCGCCATCTCGGGAGACTCCCTTCTGACTGTTCCCTGTGCCTTTCAGCCTCCATCTTCAAGCACATTCTTCTGTGGTGAGAGCAAGTGTCAGCAAACAAGCCACACACCAGGGTCCTCCATCGCAGGGAAAGGCCCTTCTGTGACTGGTTTTCCTAAGGGTGTTGCTGTCCACACTTGCCATGATTGGTTGGACGTAAATTCATAAACCCCAACATGGCAATCCCACCTCTAACAAGTGTACGTGCTGGCTCTGTTCCCCCACACCGCTGCCTATATAGGTTATGGACATACAAATGTGTCAGTCTTAATATAGTGATGCTGGTATATTGTGTAGGCCTCCAATCAGATGGCAGCTCTCATGTGCTGATATGATCATCTGGCGATAGCCTTAAAGTCCTAACTCAAACACTGTGACATTAGCCGGGGGGAGGAGAGTTACTATCTCTTGGTTCCCTACTATACATATGACAGCCTCACACACACACAGTCTCATGTAAATACTCAACAACTTTATGAGATAAACAATATCACCCTTATTTTTTATACACAACAGACTAAGGTTCAGAGAAGTGAATAATTAGCCCAACGTCATCTAACGAACCTGAGCCTTGAAGCCAGGCTCATCCTTCCTCCATCCTGTGACACCTGCCCCACCCACCAGCCATTCCACACCCTTTCTAGTGTAAGCCTGTCCACCACTACATCCAACTTTCTCAGTTGCAGTTCTGGACACTTTATTAATTGAATTCTATCCAGAAAAGGTAGGTTAAAAGAAAAGAAAGGTGGTGTGAGAGAAAAGTCTCTCAGTCAATAAGTATGTTAACCAATCAGTATAAGAAAGAAAGAAAAAAAAGTGTAAAAAATGGCAGCCTGCTCAACCTTTATATACAGCTTTATTTGCAATTTGCTGGAACCACTGAGAATGATTGACAAGCTCACATGTTGCTTCTGGGAAGAGCGTTCAGCTCCAGATGCTCTTTTCCACCAAGGAGCATGGGCCCTGGGAAGGCCGCTCAAACCCAGTGCTGTGCTGCGCTGAGGGCTGTGCTGAAAGTTCTCAAGGCTCGATGAGTCCCCCGCACAGCCAGCAGGAGTGAGCCGGCTTCCATCTCATAGCCGGCCTCTTGCAGCTGTTTGGCCAGCTCCTCAGCATCCCAGTGCCCATGCTGAAGGCTGGCCAAGAGGTGGTCCACGATATGTGGATAAAAGGGAGTGGAGACGCATTCCACCAGCAGCTTGGCATCCAAGATCAGGGAAAGGAGTTCTGCATCACAATTGGCATCGTTCACCTTCAAGAGATAAGACAGGCACAACATGAGAGGGCGTTTGCTCCCTCATACTTGCCTCACTCCCTCTGGGGTTGGTATGCACTGCTTTTTTTGCCGTCATCATCATGATACCTTTGCCTGGGTTTACCAGTACCTGCTCCAAAAAGCATGTGTAGAACAGAAGCATATCTGAGGTCACAGACACAGGATGCAGACATGGGTTCCTTTTAACAGAAGACAGTGTAGTGTAGCCCTGTAACAAGAGTCCCACTTGCAGCCTCATTGGCTGCAGCTCCCATATATTGAGAGCCAGAAATTGTGGTAAACATTGTACAAGTATTACTCCCTAGAGCTTTTCCAATTCAACCTATGAAACTGGCACTTTTACCTCTCAAGCCACAGACACGGAAGTTGAGGTGTAAGAACTCTGCTTAACATCGTAGCCAGAAAGACATGGGACCAGAATATGCATTTAGGTCAGTCTTGACTTCAAAGCCTGTGCTCTTGACAACCACATTTGCTATTTCATTTATACTTTCACCATGCTCTGTATTCTTTAACTCCAGATCTCTTTCAAATGTAGATCCATATGAAAAAAAATCTTTTCAGAACCAGAAAATCTCTTTTCTATTCCGTTGAGAAAAGAATGTGTCCCTCAATCCTACTGATATAAACAGAATAACCAACAGTGGGGTTTTAAGTTGTTTTTGTTTGAGCCTCTAGGAAGCTCAATACTAACCTTACCTTTTAGAAAAACGTTTTCATAGATTCTTTCAGTTTGCACATTCTCTGAATTATCTTTTCCCTTGGTTTTATCTTTTAAGTCTATGCATGGTTTTCCACGGCTTGAATAATTTATATTTTTCTATTTTATGTTGCAATCCATATTTTTATAAGGAATCAAGTCAATACTGATCACATAGCAGAACTCAGAGCTTCTCATTTACCCTGGTATCATAAGCCAGCTTCATGGCAGTTTCTTCGTAATGTCATTGTGCACTTTTAGTAACTTTGATGATAGGACCTTGAGAAATAATGTCAAAGTCAATCAACTCATGTTTAGACAGACTATATTATACAACTGTACACAATGTGCTCTTCCTGCATGTTCTGTGACAGGAGGAAAGACTATACTGAAGATGAGAAAGTTGACTGTGTCTACCAGCCACAAGATTAAACCAAGAGAAGTACCAAGAAAGAAAGTTACTGTCCACTATCAGACAGTGTGAATCTTTCCTGCAACCAAGGAATCGTTCAAAACCCAAAGTAAATGTCAGCTCCAATGCCATTTTCTTGGTGACATTTTTTTCCTGAACTCCCTTGGTCAAGCTGATTTCTCCTTCCTCCACACTCCAAAGATAGCTGATAGCTGCCTCTTCACGCTGTGTTACAGTAATTTGTGTACTGTCTCCCCTGCCTGAATGGGAGATTCTTGAGGACACAAAGGTTTTATCATCTTTCTATTTGAGCATCCGGTTTCATTAACATTTGTTAAATGGCTGAGTGAACCTACATTATTAAGCTTTGTCACATTGTTGTAAACTGCAGAAGTATGTGATAAAGACCGTATCTCTGAAAAGAATCTGAATAGAGCTAGACTTTAGAACAGAAGAGTCTCTGTAAACCCTCGGCATCTTTTCTTTGGCATCTTATTTCATGAATACACACATACAAACTTGCTCACCTTTGGCCCAGGAAGACACTTAGGCTGAACTCAGCTTAGCTTTGTTATTTTGTTTAGATGCTAGATGGTAGGAAAAGCAACTGGTACAGAAGCCTAGCTTTCCAGCTGGAGGGGGGTCCAGACTCCTCACTGGGGCTGCCTATAAGTTCTCTCTGTCTTCTCTCCATCCAACCTCCCCCTTTTTTTCTCCCACCTAGCAAACAACAGTCTCAAACCCACGGAGCTCTGCCCTGACCATCACAGTGCCCACGTGCCAGGCACTCTATTCCCACACCCTCAGACATCCCCTTGAGACAGTTCTCACTTGATTTAATAGATGAACATTCAGGGAGGTCAAAGTCACGTGCTGAGTGTCACATGGCTGCTACATAGTGGAGTTGGATGAGGGGCCCTCATCTCTGCCTTGTTTACTTGTTTATCATTTGTTTACTGTTGCGCTCCAACAGATGTCTTGGCTCCTTTGTTTACCCACCTCCCCCATGCCCAGAATGGTGGCCACATACTAGGAGCTCAGCAAGATTTGTGAGGTGAATACACAAATGAAGAGTAACTCCAAAGCTCACTTTCTCTCACTTGGAGTGGCTGCCTCCACCAAATGCACACACAAACATGCACATACACGGGGCCTCTGAGTTACTGTAAGTTATTTTCATTCACCCTTAAAAACAAAACAAAGAATTCCCTTACCTGACCCTGCAGGAGAGAACTGAGTGTGTGCCAGGAAGCTATAGGTCTGACAAAACACATGAATAAAAGCCTCAGAATCTGAAATCTGCAGGGTAATACTTTGTGTCCTGAATAAGTTTTCAAGGCTGGGACACCCTTATTATTCTTTCAGTTTACTCACTAACCCTCCCTCTGGGGATCTGACAGACTCCTAGAATGGGGGTGATGGATTCTTCCAGCTGGAGGAAGAGACAGGAGTTCTGTCAATGCCTGCCGCTGCCGCACCTCTCATTCTCTTCTTAGTGTGTTTCTCTCCAGTGCAATGAAGTCCTTCCACACAGCTCCTGGTTGCACATCCCCAGTTTTTCAGAAGCCACCCATGTTGTGGTAGGGAGAGTGAGGGCTGGGAGGGCAGGGTAGGTTGTTCACTCTCCAACAGCTACCGCTTAGGGTCTTGGCTGAGAAGGTCTAAGGCTAATGACATGGAAATGAAATGCAGTGTTTCTCCTTTGGCCCTGGCCCACTCCAAGGTTTCCTAAAGAAAGGAGATGTCTGAGACTGTTGACCTGTGCTGAGCTTGGGCAGTAAAAGGGGAAAGGTCTGGGGAAAATCTGTGGTTTGGTTTATAATCAAGTGCTGGAAAAATGGAGTAGCTGACTTCATTTTATTCCCTTTTTTTTTGACTTTCTACCTGGTTCTGGATCTTTGCGAGAAATACAGAATGGGTAGAATGTATTTTATAATTGTCATTTACAAGGAAAATACCACAAGGCAAATATTCTGTCTATATTTAAGGACAAAAAAGAGAATAAAATAATAAAGAAAGAGATGGCCTTTGTAATGACCCATTCCAACAAATGCATTTTAAAGAAGAGGAATCTGAAGGCCAGAAAAGCAACAGGTAGCCCAAGGTCACAGAGAGCCAAGAGTTCCTCTCCACACACCAGCCTGCCTGTGTCAGGACACCAAGGCCAGGCTGAATCCTTTCCCTCAGCACAGCCCAGTGCTAGACATCCCAAAACTCTCTCAAGCACCTTGACATAACACCATGCTGCTAAGTTGTGAGGCTAATTTGTTAAGCCTCAAGTTGTCTTCAATTCTTCTGCTTTTGATTAAAATGATAACTAGAAAAAATCTGGTGCGACTACAGAAGCCTGATATTATATGACCCACCATTATTCATTCCAACCTACTTTATTTTTCTTTTTGAAATAAAAAGAAAAATAGAAGAGAAAAATGTGGAAGTAGTTTGAAAAAAGAAGTCATCCATATCTTTATCACCACAAGAGAATTATTTTACTCTCTTTTCCTCTCTAGGACTTGTCCATGTGAAGATTTATTTTTCTACAATCAATCATATAATATTTGTATTCTCCTTTGCTCATTAAATGCTAACATTTTAAAAAATGTTTTTATATTGTTTTCATTCTTAAATTTTTTAATGGTTGCAAAATAGTTTATTGAATGAATGCTAGAAGTTATTTAATGTCTACTATAAATATTTTGGCTGCTTTTAATAGTTTGATATTATTGAAACACTACAATGAATATTTCGTATGCGCATACTTTCTTCTTTACTTAAAATTATTTGCATAGACTATGTTGCATATTATTGCATATTATATGCATAGGAGAGAGGTGTTATTATGAGCTGAACTGTACCCGTCCCCCATTTGTATACTGCAGTCCTAATTCCCAGGACCTCAGATTGTGACTGTATTTAGAAACATGGCCTGTAAAGAGGTAATTAAGGTAAAATGAGGTCATTAGGATGGGTGGCAAGATAACTGGTATCCTTAAAAGAAGAGAAGAATAGGACACAAACATAAAATGAGGGTCAACCATGTGAAGACACTGAGAGAAGGTGGTCAACAAGTCAGAGAGAGAGACCTCAGACAAAATTAACCCTGCTGGCACCTTGATATCAGATTCTTGTCTTGAGATTGTGAGAAAATAACTCAGTCTGTGGCACTTGGTTATGGTAGTTTGAACAAACTAATACATCAGGCAAAGTATCTGACATATTTTTTGGCTCTGAATGTGAATGTAAATACAAAATACTGATGTCAAACGGTGCCAGCTTACAGTGGTGATACCAGTGTAGGAATATGTCCATTTCACCATAAGTTTCTCAGCTTTAGGTATTGCCTTGAAAACAAAATCACTTGCCAACTTAGGAGATATGTAATGGTACCTCAAGCCTGGCTTAAGTTGAATACATTTATTTATGTATTTTTATTTTTGAGTCGGGGTCTCACTCTGTCACCCAGGCTGGAGTGCAGTGGTGTGATCACTGATCATCACAGCCTTGATCTCCTGGGCTTAGGCAATCCTTCTGCTCAGTCCCCTAAGTAGCTGGGGTTACTGGTATGCATCACCACGCTCAGCTAATTTTTAAACTTTTTTTTTTTAGAGGGCTTACTTTGTTTCTCAGGCTGGTCTCAAACTCATGGGCTCAAGCAATTCTCCCACTTCAGCCTCCCAAAGTGCTGGGATTACATGCGTGAGCAATTGTAACCAGCTATATTTGTTTATTTGCAAGGATGAATTTTTCTCTATAAATTTTCTATCATTTTTACGTTTGTTGTGGGAAGGATCAACTCCTTTGCTCATTTAGTAGAGTTGTAACATTTTTCTTACGTATGCAAATGACTTCTTTGTATAACATATA